TATATATATATATTAAGCTTCAGTTGATATCCTTTTAATCAAATGCTTGATTTGTTAATAAAAGGAAGGGTGCATAAGACAATTATTTTGAACCTTAATTGGGTCATGGGGGGTCTGCATACTAATAAAAAAGAAACGATATGGGCCAAATAAGTTAAAATTTTGCAAGCACAATATTAATAAAGCTAGTTGGTCCATTGTCAATAATAAGTCCGGCATGTTTTATCAATATTGGTTTGACCCATTTTCCCACCGTATTTGCAAATAAGCTGGCCCATCTCTTACACCCCAGTTTTTGTCGAAATAATTTTAATAAAATCAGTTTATTTTATTATTTAAATAAATAAACAACTTAATCAACTTAGTAATTAATTGTAGCGCGATAGTTGTCTTTTTAATGAATTTCAAAGTTAATTTCCTCAAATGCAGTAGTGTTTGTTTTCCAAAAGTAATAACGTGTTAATAATCCTGCAAATTCGCTTGCGTGATGAGGTTATGAGAAAAATAATAAAATGAACATTCATTTGCGTGGTTCGTTTATGACAATTTACTATCATTCAAATTATTCTTTAATAATTTTAATAAATAAAAGCGAATATGTAAAACATGAAAATCGAATAAAAATACAATTTGCCTAAAATTAATTCAAGCCATTTTTGGTCAAATAAAGGCGACCGTGCTAAAACTACGAAACTCGAAGAATGCCTTACACTTTCTCTCATATCAACAAAATTCTTTACCCGAACTTTATTTTCGTAGACCAATAATAAAATAGAGTCAACTTTTCTTTGACTAGGAATTCAAATAAAATGCGACAATAAAATAATACCTATTTCAAATTATCACTTTAATTAAAAAAATTCTTTTAACCCACAACAATCCATATCACTTATATAATTTGGGAGTGTTTAAAAAGGGGTGTGACAGTTATCAGCTAAGTGCTGTGGTTTTCGTTGGTATCTTTAGAAGACGAATCCAACAGCATATCGTGAATTCTTTGTCTTGTTATCTCCATTTGGGATTCTGTACCTGTCGATGATCCTTCTTCCCTAGGTTTATTGTACGCCTCAAAGAACTCTTTGTTCTCCTTCTCCAACTCCTTCCACACTGTTTATTACAACAATATCTAACTAAATAAACAATAACTTCGCAACTCAAGTCTTCAATTAATTAACTACACCACTAAAGGTCGTCGCGAGAATTCAATCTTAGTTAGAAGTTTCAGGTTTGAGCCAATCAAAAAGTTTCTGATAAAAAAATTCCTGGTAGAAACATTACTTCTTTAATAGACTCTATGCGGCAAGAATCTGAATTAGATACGGAATAAATAAAAAAAATATATATATATATATATATATTCTATGGCTCGTTTGGCCATAAAAAAAATTTACTTTTTTTCCAAAGAAATTTCACTTTTTTTTTTTAATTAGTGTTTGACCATAATATTTTTAATTTTTACTTGAAGATAAATTTCAGAATTTTTCAAAAATTTAAAAAATTCCAAAAGGCTATTTTTCAAAAATTTTACTTCAAATCACTTACAAAAATTTAAAACAACCAAAAATCATATTCATATCCAAACATAACTCTAATTTTCATATACCATTTTCATTTAAAACAATTTCACTTTTTTACCGAAATTTTACCATTCTTATGTCCAAAGGCCCACCTAATATAACTGTAGATTTACAATCATTGTAATATTTCTAATTTGTACTTCAACTCTGTGGAGGATACTGCTAAAAAAAAGCTGTGTACTATGAAACATTATTGGTTGCGAGGGCGGCTGCTGTTTTGGGCAGTAGCCGATTCAATAAACAAAGTCACGGATTCAGAATTCATGACTTCTTATTCAAAATTAAATTATGGATGTAGGCAGTGGCGGATGCAATTAGTTACGTGATTAATTGAATTCATAACTTTTGAGATAAAATATAAATTTAAGTATAAAAATTTATTAAAATTATAATAAATCATAAATATAAAACATAACAGTAAAAATAGAATGAGATCAATATTAAAAATCTTAAATATTGAACTCATATTATTTAAATTCTGAAATCCGTCAATTGATGTAGGTGAAAAGTACGTACATATATAATTAAAAACAGTTTGTGTGTGGGGTTATATATAATATTTTTAGAATATTTATTCGTATATGTTTTTATTTAATGTTTATGTTGTTAGAAAGCATTAGATAAAATAAACGAAATTTAAAATTAAATTATAAAAATATATCAGAAATTAGTAATTTTAGATGGTGAGAGAAAGAAGAAAGCTAGGAATTTAACAGGAAAAAGTGAGGAGAATATCTGCTAAGCCCACTTGAATTGACAATTACTGTCTCAATCCACGTTTCATACATGAAACATGCACTCGAATATGTGTTTCACTCTACTGTTTAAGAAAAAGAAAGTGATAATTTTTATTAGTAAATAAAAAATACGAAAAAATCATAATTAAAGCGTGTAGACTAACCTTTTTCAATTAAATTCTTGCGAGTTTTATAAGTCATAAATGATAATCTTCTCTCATCATGAAAATAAAAACATACAGAATAATTGTTGAAGGTATAAGTCTAGCTGTATATTGGAAAAAACAAATTAGCGTCGGTTATATAGATTTTTACTGTACAATTTCACCAATTTGAGTCTGCAGTTTCATTGTTCATTTCATGTTCCATGTCAACCCACTTGAGTCCGATACTGAAAATCAGATAGTGAAATTCTATATTGTGTAGAATTTTCAAAATACTATCGTACTTGTATCGGATTTTTTAAAAATTATACTATTTTTGAAAGATCTGTACTCATAACCCCAATAATATATATTTTTAAAGAGTCCGAGCGTAAAAGAAAGAAAAAAAAAAAAAGGAAGAGAAGTGAAGGTTGGATTGACCTGTGGAAGTGATAACTGGCTGGATATTTGCATGTTTGGAGAGTGCTTTCATGCACTCCTCTCTGGTCATGTTGAATAATAGACACTCCTCAATTAAGCGATGCACCTGCATCCATTAATCCTATTTACTAATTTAGATTATCAATCATCTAAACCTACTAGTATAAAGAAAAATAAAAATAGAAATATTAGTAATAGTCTTACCATGTGGATGTATTGAGAGGAAGAATCACCCATTGTATAGACTTTAAAGAAAGATCTCTAAAAAGGAAAGACTACCTTTTTGTTTTATAAAAATGAGAAGAAACTGGAAAAAGATTATAGCAGAAGGAAGGAGAAGAAGAATTGAAAAAGAAGCTAAGGGTGTAGGAGAAAGTTGAAGAAAGAGAGGATCAAAGAAAATTGTAAGAAGAGTAGGGTTTTTGGTGAAGAGAAATGACTATAGATTTCCTTTTATTTTTAATATTTGATATCAGGAAAAACGTTGTCTATATAAAATAGTCTTTTTACTTGTACAAGATACAAGTTGTACATCTTTTCTAGACTTCACATAAAAAAATTATATTATATATATTATTATTATTATTATCGTTGATGATTGACATCAAGAACCCACTAACTTGATTAATTAAAATTTGCACATTTAAGAAAAGCTATCAGTATCAAAACTTATTCATTTTAGAATTTTAATCCGAAATTTCTAATTAAAATTAAAAAATTGCATCCATCCCCAAAGTTACTACTAGTAATTTCACTAAAGCTACTATTAAGCCACATTTGGGTCGAAGACTATAGTCAAAGTTGGGTAGGTTTCTGTAAAGACAAAAGAAAGTTGGAAAAATACATTTTATTCTAAGATAAATACTAATGAGCTAAAATATTTATTTATTTCAGGAGAGTAGTGGTGAGGTGATGTCATTAGGTTGTGGATGGGGTATTAAGTCCCACGTGGGAAGAGAGAAACGATTGGTTGAATGGAGATTAGGAATGATTATTTTACGTATTTTTCGGCTAAGCGTACCAAAGTCCACGTGACAAGGTTGGCCCACAAGATCGGCCCAGTAGTAATTTCCACAGAGCCTACCGAATCCTTGGGCCCCGCAACAAAGCCCACACAAGGGCACGTGGAATTGTCTTGGATAAGTAAATAAAAAGTATATAAAATATATGCTCACTTCTTTTTAATTTATGTTAATTTATGCAAAAAAAATATCACATTTTCTTATTTAAAAATAATTTACCTTTATGCAATGATTTATAACCACACAAAATATATGTGTCTCATTTTATATCACAAGTTCAAAAGTCTTCTTTTTTTTCTTAAACTCTGTACCGAATCAAATATATTCACTTAAAACGGATTAAGTATATTTTTTTGACTATTATTTTTTAAACGAATATAATACATAAATTTCTCAATTGTCTCACCTCCTTAAATTCACAAATACGAGTAGTATTTTTCAGATAGCTCATGTAATAAGAAAATAGCGACTGCTATGGCACCATTACGTAGTTTCAATTTAATAGGTTTGACGGGATTTTACAACGAAATTTGATTATTTAAAACTTCATGACAGCAGCTATTTCTTAATTATACAGCTAAAAAGTGACTAACCCTGCTATTATTATCGACTCGTTGCCCGCTAACCCTGTTAAATTTAGCCTAAAATATACTACCCTTTTAGAAGCGTAGCATCTTAATCCAAAAACGTGCTTAATATATTAAAGAAAAACCTTTTGAATTTTTTAAATTTTGAACTGTCGTGCATCCATATTTAAAAATGCCATTAATAAATGAAAATAATGAAATCAAAATCTTATTAAAATAGAAAAAAGTGACATTTCTTTTTTAGAAGACTAAAACAGAAAGTAAACGTCTAAATTGAAACAGGGGCAGTAATAATTGGGGGCAGTACTCAAATAGTCATTTTTAGGATTGCTGTTTAGGGTTTAACCGTTACTTATTTTATCCCGAAAATTTGAATTAAAAATCTTAAATTCAGGACTTTGTGTCCTGAAAAATTAAGCTGAAAAACTGAAATTTAGGACGCACCGACTAATTTTTAAATAGCAACTCTCTAAATGGCTACTTGGTGTCATTTCTATATAATAACTCCTTCAAACCGTTTAGACTAAAAATTAAACTATTCATAAGTTAATTTTAGGACTATTCATAGGTTAATTGTAGGCACAATCGAAATATATTCATCTAACAGCCTGGTAAGTGACTCATAAGAATATTTTGTAAAATTAGTAAAACAAAATCATTTGATAGTATATATCTATCTGCTACACTTTCTCTCTCTCTCTCTCTCCCTACTTTTTTAGTTTAGTAATTAAACAAATTGTGAAAGAAAATGGAAGAGCTATTTCGAGTTAAGTATGATCAATGTCTCAATTAACCTAATTCATCATGATCTAGGTAATTTTGATGAATACTAAGTCATGATCCAATTATTGAACACTACTCTTTCTGAACACCCCATAAGCATACATTTATTATCTGTATATACAAGTTATTGAATTCCTCTTAAAAATAAAATGCCACCTTTTTATACAAGTAAGTTGCATTATAAGCCATTACATATGCGTGTTGACAAGTTATTAAATTTTGGAATAAGCAAAGTGTTCAGAGCAATGCTTAGGTAGAGTCAAATAATGTATGAGGTTTTGTGTAAATCACATTAGCAATATTCTGTAAGTAGTATTTTTTCAAAACCAATTATACCAAACATGTGTTTTTCTCAATGCAATAATTTGAACGATGTTAATTGTATTTCTAGGACTGGATTTTTATTGGTTAGGTAATGAGGCAGTTGTAAAATGAAGGATGAACTTCATCTCTTGTTACATACTACTGATATAAATATTTTAAAGCAAATTAAAGTAAATATGTACTTATAAGCTAGTTTGATTTAAATAAGCCCTAACTTATTTTTTATTAGAGCTCTTCTTTTTTTCTACTTGACCAGCTTGTGCATATGCTGGTTTTTTATCAGCTACTTACTATCTCCCAACCAGCACATATATACTTATAAGTCTATTCACTAACTTGGACAGATGTGAAGCAATCACTTCGTATTTTTGTCTCCACTAAAATTTAAACTTAAAACCTCATTACTTGCCTACTGTAAATTTTTAGAACACTTCTATTCAGTGCTTAGGGGTCACAAAATTAGGAAAACTGGAATTGATCACCCCAGCCAATTCTCCCAATACTTTGTCGACTTCTCTTTCCAATATTTCTCCTTTAAATTTCTTAGTTCTTCCTCTTTTTCTAGGTACATTATGTAACGATCCAATCGGTCGTTTTGACTATTAGAACCTCGTTCCCCTAAATAAGACTTCCCGTATGTGCTTTTACTAATTTATAACTTGAGGGGATGGTTGGTTCGAGATTTGGAAGTGTTTGAGTTGAAATCGGAGTACTTGGTTCTATAGTTGGCTTTAAAAAGGGCGAGTTTGACTTATGTCAACTTTTTTAGAAATCGACCTTGGAATCGTGATTTGACGGTTCCAATATATTCGTATGATGATTTTGGACTTGGCCGTATGTTCGGATCGGTTTTTTTGATGACTCGGGAGCGTTTCGACGCCTATTGTGGAAAGTTGGCATTTTGAAAAAAATTTATAAATTTGGATTAAAGTGCATTTCAATGTTATTGATGTCCGTTTGGGATTTCGATTCTGGAAATAGCTCTGTATGGTGATTCTGATATTGGGAGCGTGTCCGAAAGTGAATTTGGACGTTCGTAGGTCATTTCGGGTCATTTGGCGAAAGTAAGAAATTTGAAGGTTTTTGAGAAGTTTGATCGGGAGTAGACTTTTTAATATCAGGGTAGGATTCCGATTCCGGAATTTGGAGTAGGTCTGTAATATCGAATGTGACTTGTGTGCAAAATTTTAGGTCAATCGGACGTGATTTGATAGGTTCTGGCATCCAATGTAGAAGTTTGAAGTTCTAAAGTTCATTAAACTTGAATTGGGGTGCGATTCATGATTTCGATATTGTGTGATATGATTTGAGGCCTCGAGCAAGTTTGTGTTATGTTATGGGACTGGTTGGTATGATTGGATGACGTCTCGGGGGCCTCGGGTGTGTTTCGGGGTAGTTTCAGATCGAATTTGGATGAAAAGCTGTTGCTGGCTTGCTGGTTCTGGTTTTGTTCTTTGCGAACGCGAAGGGAGTCCGGCATTCACGAAGAAGGAAAATGGTGGTTGCTATCTTGTGCTTCGCGAACGCGAAGAAGGGCTCGCGAATGCGTAGTGGTGCTTGATGAATCTATGCGAACGCGGTAGACCAGTCGCGAACGCGTAGAAGGAAATGGAAGAGATGGGCCTGGAGTCGTTGGCCTTCGCGAACACGAAAGCGAAGGAGCAAGGTCAGCTGGCCATCGCGAACGCGACGAGGAGGTCGCGAACGCGAAGAGAAATTTTGGGGTAGAGACAATTAGCCTTCGCGAACGCGAGGCATTAGTTGCGAATGCGAAGAAGGGGCGACTGTGCTGGGCAGAATGTTTTAAAAAAAATGGGATTTGGGTTCATTTCACACATTTTCCACACGTCTTGGGCGATTGCTGGAGCTCTTCAAGGGAGTATTTTCACAATCTAATGCAAGGTAAGTGATTTTCACCTATTGCAAGTTAAGTACTTGGTTTATATATAAATTTAAACATGGAAAATTTGTAGGAATTTGGGATTTTGAATAAAAACCTAGAAATTGGTATTTCTGGATTTTGACCACGAAATTGGACATGGAATTGGATGAAAATTATTTATTTGAGTTCTTGAGATTATGGGTAATGTTTTCCTCCGAAAATTTTTGGAATCCGGGTACGTGGGCCCAGGGTAAATTTTAGGAATTTTACCATTTTGGGTCGGGTAATTTATTTGATAGTATAATTTCGAATTATTGAGCATGTATTAATTATTTCATATAACTTTGGATAGTTTCGGATATTTCGGCATCAAATTGAGATTTTTACGTGACACGGTAATCGGGAAGTGGGCTTTGAGATAAGGTAAGTCTCTTGTCTAACCTTGTAAGAGGAAATTTACCCCATAGGTGATTTAAATTAATAATTGTTACTAATTGTGGGGGCTACGTACGCACGAGGTGACGAGAGTCCGTGCGTAGCTACTAATTATGCTATGTCCGGGTAGTTTAGGGCTCAAATCATGAATTTTTTGTGATAATTGTATTCTTTATTTAATTAAAATACTGAAATTATATTGTGAATCGTTAGAGAAAATATTAAAAGATCGAAATTTCATATACTTTAATTTTTGTGTAAATTATTTAATTGTTAATAGAAATTTTACATCCTTATGTGTTATCCCTATTATAATAACTTCTCATTCCCTAGATTCATAAGAAAATATCCTCCTTTCTTGTGGAGCGGGTCGAATGTTTCGGCAGTATAGATGCATTTAT